AGCAGGAAATACAATAATATATTACACTTGCCTGAATGTATGTTTGTCTTTAGTGAATGCAGAGTAATTGGATTACGGGGTGAGTCAGATGATTCTGAGTCAGTAAAGAAGTATGTTCTTGTTGCTTCATCTATGCATGTCTGAGAGCATAGGTGTTGGCTTCCAGAAGCGGAATGTCGGACCTGCAGAGCCTTGCAGGCTCATGTTTACCAAGCCAGTTGGCTTTATCTTCTGTTTGGAGAAGTGTACACTTCCTCAGTTTGCTGAGGAACAGGGTGAATACTGTAACAAAAAATCCACCTGGAGTTTTTAAAAGCAGTGTTAAAATCCAGTCATTACTACAGGAAAAATTGGTTTTAATAAGCTTATAATCTTATACAAAACCTTCTTTCAATTTTTCCCCAACAGTTCTATAAACTAGTATCTTATGAAGGACTTGCTATGCAGATGCATAACTTATTTTTTAAATGGATTTAAATAGGACTAGATAGTATATTTAATGAAAACAGTTTTCATAACTAATGCATTTAAAATGCATTTATTAAGTAATTTTTAATGTGCCTATTGTCCTGGTGTCTTGCATTTTAGGTTATTTAGCGAGCACTTTTGTGCTCACTAGAATCTATCAGATAAACTGGGGACACATTCTGCATCCTGGAACAATTCATGTTGCTGCTTCCTGGTTTAATTCCTTATTTCTTCCAAGTTGCTCTCCCACTCTCTGATTGCCTTTCCTTTAGTAGATCACAAGTGGTTTGCTGCATTCTTTGAATAAGTGACAATGTTTCATCCTCAGACAAGCTTTACTACCCATGCTTCTGCATGAACCCTGTTTTTTGACATACAGGCAGCATTTGATCCCGTTGATTATAGATGTCATGAGGAGGTTGGTGGCTTGCAGAAGAGAGTCCAGAGATAAACACCAGACAAAATCATATGTCATAGCATTATGATACTACTCAAAACATCTGTAACATTAAGGTACACTTTACAGGAGATGTGTGCCAGTTAACACCTGAGGAAAAGTAAGCCCCCAGTGTGAGTTTAGAGGGTGATAATTTTTGTTGAGTTGGAGTGTAAACAGTGGAGCGGGGAGATGGATATGTACTAGAATTACAAGGGATCCTAAGGAAGCTAGTCTTATACTGCCTTGTTGGCAGTGGTTCTCAACCTGCTTGACTTATAAGTCCCTTTATGCTTTGCATGGAAACTGCACGTGTGCAATGAATTTTTTGATACTCTTGCTTGCAAGTTTATCGACTCTTTGATCATTCTGAGAGCTCTGTTTTGCTTGTAAGTAACATTTCCATCAACAGCACATGTCAGGGATTCCAGAGATCACTGTTCAGTAAATTAAAGTGCAGGAAAGGAGAGGGCTACTTCAGCAGTTTTTTATCTCAAAAGACTACTTAGGTGCTCTGAGTCACCCTGTTAAATTGTCTTCCTTTTCTTATTTGCAAGTTAGTTTTTGTGGTTTTTTGCTTTTTAGTTTCTCTATGGAGTTACTGTGTATACAGAATTAGAGTATTCTCAGTCCAACCACTTACACAGAGCTGGACAAAATGCCTTTATGTGCTAATGGCATTGGTGTTGTGAAACTGTATTCTATCATTCTCAGTGCTGTGGGGTCTTTCCTTTTGGAGACTTGTGTATCCTGTATTGATAAAACACAGGTTGCATTCTGACATGCTTTTTGTTTTCCCGTGGACTTTTGAGCATGTCTGATTTTTGCATCTGTAAGAAGGCTCTTCTGAAGTCTGTCTTGCAGGATTTGTGATCACTTCTGTTCATTTACATACCATCTGCAGCTGGAAATACTTGTTTCCTTAAACTCACTTGAGACTCTCTCAGCTATAAACCTACATATTGTTCAGTTATTGCCTTGAGTATGTTTATTGTAGACTAAGTAGTTTGCTACTTTGTGAAGTTAAGGTATTGGGAATGTTATAGAAAAAATTAAGAATTACACATATTGCTGCTTTTGCTATTGTTTAAGTATTTACAGTGATGTACCCCCAGAATAAAATAGTCTTCAGGTCGCAGTTTTCAGCTTAATTAGCTTTTACGTGGCCTTGAAATTTCTCCCATTGTTCCAGAATGTGTAGTTGAATCTTACCCAATGGTTTTGTGTGATTTGAGCATAGTTTGCATCGTTCTGCCAAATATTCTATCATTGTTCTTCAGAAAGTGAATTTATTGTGCACTAACTTGGAAATAAATTCTGCACACAGAAAACGGGACCTGAGCCAAAATCTTTACTGCTGGAAGATGTCATGAAAAAAGTCGGCAACTTGCAGAAAAGAGACTTGAGATAAACAGCAACAAAAATGTCATGTTGCAACAGTCTGTAGTCAGAAAACATTCATAACACTTAAAGCAGAGTTTACAGTCTGTGAGTTTATTGTTAAAAATTCCCAGCTAAGAAAGAAAAGCTGGAGGAGCTTACTTTTAAGTGATCAGGTCTCATATCCCAGTACAGCTGGTATATGTAGAATTGCATTGTTTGAACAGCACTGGTGACTGACTGCTATGTGCTGTAAATGATGCAGATCTCCAAACTTAACAGAGCCTGCAAAGGCAAAGTTGAGGAGAAGCAAGGAGAAGGAAGAGTCCCAGAGCAACTGCTTTTCCAGATGTTTTTTTACTAACCAAGTCTTTGAATGATAACTGTATTAGTTTTCTTTCTCAAACCTACTGAGAAAAACTACTAAAACTGCTTTTTTCTTCTTACCCATGTTGGTTTACCAGTGGTCTTCTAAACCAGTTTATTATCATGTGGGCTTCCACCCCCAAGTGCACATCTTTCCTGGTTGGGAATCTTCTGTTGCAACCATTACCTGGTCCTTGATAATCGTTTACTATGGCTTCTTTCCCCCTTATTTTTTTCAGGGAGATTATTGATTTTATTGTTTTGTTTAAGCAGGTCAGTGACACATAATGTGATCACTCCTCAGCTACTTTAGTAGAAAGTATTGTGATTGATTAACACGGAAATTTTCTAAACTACTGGTCTGCCAAAGAACATTGACCAAAGCATTCAGGGAGTACTCTCACATTTTGTTCCGTTTTGCCAAATTGAAGAGGATGTCAGGTTATCTGCAGAGAAGTATTAACAAATATTAATAAGCGTTTCTGTGTGTGAAAGGAGAGAAGATAAGCTCTTAAACATCTGCAGCTGTATGCTAAGTGAACGTAAGAATCTTTTATCATGATACTTAACCACCATGAAGTTTTATTTCTTCTTGTAGGATCTCACAAGGGAAAATGGTGCTCTCTACATGTCTCAATGGAATTTTCTGTGTGGAAGATAATTTTGAGTAGTGTGATATTTACTGTTGTAACTTAAAAAAAGGATTAATGTTTTCCTTAGTTTGCTAGGTCCAGTTTATTGGATAGAAATACTGGAGTGTTCTTTTAACCTTATCTAGAAGGATTGGAGAGGAAGAGTTCTTTAAGAGCTTGGTACCTCAGAACAAAGATTCAGGCTAAATGACGCCTTACTTAAGCTGCTACTTAATAACATGGGTGATCTTTTATCAGAATTTACCTTTTACTCACTGGTGGTTTTATCTAATAGTCCGCTTTTTAAGAAAAGAGAACCTGTTTTCCAGTTGCAAAGATTATTCTACTCTGACATTGTCTCTTGTCTACCACATTAAACTAAATACCCCTTTATAATAGTAGTAGTAGTCCAGGAATTAGAGTGATGGTTTGACCAGCGTTACTTTCAAAACCTTTCTATATTAGCTCATACACTCATGAGTATTTTAAACTGGCACGATCTTTCTGTGTAATGGAGCTTTCCTTCTGATGCTTTTTTTCCTTCCTAATTTATTAATGTTTGCAGTAATTATTAAATAATCTGACTGCTTTTATACTGTGGTTTGATGCTATGCAGTCTTTGGCAGCTCTGCTGACTTTCAGGGGTTCCCAACTCTGAGCAGAACATTATTCGTGTGACGAGAAGTGCTTATAGTGCTGAGCTGTGAATTGGATGAAGGATCCTGCTTAGGGACTGCTTTCCAAGCTGTTCTTGTTTCTGGTTTTGGGTTTTAAACTTGGTGGGTTCTATCAATTCAGGTCAGAAAGTACCTCCACATAGATTTCATGGTTCACCTGAGCTGATGAGCAGTAGAGCTGTTAAAGGAAAAAGTGCCTAGTGAGAGGGAGCAGAAGTCTCTTGGGTTAGTATTGCTGCCCAAGCCAGCATGTTGTTAAACCTTGGCCTGTTTCCTCCTACAAAAAGGTTTAGTCTCATTTGTTGTTCTCAAAACAGACAGCCTCACTTCAAACAATCTAGAAATAAACCATCTGTGTTAACGTTCTTATTTCTGATTCCAGTGTTGGTTTTCGTTTGTTTGCCCTAAATAAGGTGGGATAAGAAACTTCTTGATGTTTTGTGCTGACTAAATCATAAAGCAGTGGTTTCCAGCACTTTTATAGCCGTGTTGGCTGCTTGTGCTACTCTGCCAATGGAGTTTAGTAGCGTGCAATAGCCCTATTCCTGCCCACGGGCCTGCTTTGCAGTTGTACAGCTGTAGCCCCCTCTGTCTTTTAAAGTTCCTCTTTGCAGGGGCTGGTTGGCCAGGAGTTACCTGCTGCCAAAACAATTCCCAAGCTGACTTTCAATTGCTGACTTTCCTATGGAAAACTCCCTGTTATAATATAATTGTGTAAATTGTCCCACAGGTTTTATAAACGCATAGGAGAAGTCCCATGTCCTTTCCTTTCAGTTCATATTCATATTGGTAAGTGATGTACAGTAATCTTCACAGCTCCGTAAGATGACTTACTGTAAGAAGGATGCAAAGAACTAAGAAATGTCCAAACATTATTAATTAGTTATTCCAGTATTTCAAGCCATTTCTTGGTGTATGTAGTGACTCTTAATGTATCAGAAGCATCATGTAATATTGATGTGAAATAAATCACTAAGGATACTTGCAGCAAGGGAAAAACAAGGGAAGTTTCCCTTTAGAAAGATATTCTATGGACTCTTGTGTGACAGGTTCTTTTAAAGAACTGAGGAAAACCCAAGTGTATATATTGGCATAATGAAGGTGATTACTTTTTTCTTTTTTGGGGGATAACTTGAAACACGTTAATATATTTTACAAGATACGGCTCCAGTTTTGAAGTGAACAGTTGGCTGATCTCCTCCTCTCCCCCCACCCCTTTCCTTCTCACTAATATTAGTATCAGCGCAGATGGAAGGGTCCACCTGCATGGATTTTATTGCAGAATCTGTATCTGTGTGTAAGTATATGATTGTTTTCCTTAAAATATATTATGAACACAGGGACTTTATGCTACAGAGAAAGTGTCAGGGAATGCTTAGACCCTTTCTTAGAACAATTAGGTCAATAGCAGTTATTTATGTAGAGATGTTTCATTTCATCATAACTTACAACTCTCTCTTCTTTTTCCAGGTGGATGCACGGAGCATACCAGTGTTAGCAAAATGGCAAAATTCTTATAGCATTAAAGTTGTACTTCAAGAGCTAAGACGTCTAATGATGTCCAAAGAAAATATGAAGCTTCCACAACCTCCAGAGGGACAAACTTACAACAATTAATTTTAGCTGATTCTCAAACTTCTGTCTTAAAACAGCAACCTTCTACTCATGTTAATGTCTTGATTAAATCTCACAATGCAAACACCCACACATTAAAAGAATTTCAGCTGGTATACATGACCTGGACATTTGTAAGAATATATATAATATATGTATGCCCAATATGTTTTCAGGCACTATGGGAGAAAAAGGCAGCACAATTATTTTTTCTCTTTACTGAGGCACTGCATTTAAGCATAAGCCTGAAATAGCCTAAAATTGGAATTCAGGTTTTACAAGATGAAAGCATGACAGAAAGTGTCAGGATGCTGTGGAATAATATATGTTTCTGAAAATAATCTCTTGAGAAGGCAAAATATAAATGGCATGCTTTATCCATCTTGCTTAGTAAAAGAGCTGCAGTTAAATTTGTTTTAAAGTAGCAGGTACAGTGAATACCGTTGCTCATCTTGTTTAATTTTGCAAGGGTGTGGGTGCCGACTACTAGTAGTGTCACAAAGTATGTTCAGGATTGTTTTGATACCTGTATTTATAAAATGGGGGGGATTAATTTCTGTTAAGCAGCTCCTGTGTGTTACATGTATCGGACATGGCAAATATTTGTTTACAGTCTTTGTTCTAATAAACCATGCATTTAAGTTTTAGTGAAACAAAGGAAATGTATGGATATGTGATTGAGATTAAAGTTAGTCTTAAAATGTAAATAAAATGTGGAAAGTGTCTGAGGCTGTGCCATTTCTATAATAGTGATGTAATATATGTACAGTAACTTGCAGAAGTAGTGAAAAGCCAAACATAATATTGCTGCTGGTTTTACATGCACCTTTTATTCTTACCACTTTTGTATGCTTAGTTTACTTGAGAGGTCAAGGTATTGTATTTGTTGCAGGGGAGTAAGTTCTGTCATCTATAGTATCACTTCTTTAGACAAGCTCGCACTCTATGTGTGTGTGTATATATATACTTCAAAGAAACCCCAACAACCCCAAAATAAAAGCAGGAAACCCTTGCTTACCCATCTCCCCTCTGGATTCTTTTGAGAAATGAGCATAACTTTAATTTTGCGTACTTGACCTCTGACCAGTTTTCAGACCCCATTGCTGAAGTCTGTCTTACTTCCCAGCCCTCTGTCTTGCTTTTGCAGTTACTGCCTTGATCTTGCTTTCTTGCATCCTTTTTTATG